ATTGCAGCAATCCTGTGTGTGTGTGTGTGTGTGTGTGTGTGTGTGTGTGTGTGATCTAAAGGAATGTTTGCGACAGTAAAATGTGTCGAGGCAGCAGATCACATTATCAATAATCAGCTCAGACACGATCAATGATCAATAACTCGTCTAGAATCACAGCTTTTCCATCATTATTACAGATTTTTGGCTGACGTTCTGGCAAAGGTTCCCTCAAAGTTCCGAACGAACATTCTTCCAGCAACGTTTGTTCATGTTACATTTTTAGTTCGTCTAACACTTTTAAATGTTACCGCTTTGTTTCAGAATGTTCTGATTTATTGTTACTTTTATTATATGATACTTTTGAATGTTCAGAGAACATTCCCATAATGTTTGCAAATGGAATGTTCTCTTAAAATTCACATAACCAAGAATTATTATTATTTTTTTTTAACTGGAAGTTTTGAACGTTCAAAAATAATATTTTCATAACTTATGGAAACATTAGAAAAACATGTTTTTATTAGCTTAGTATTTAGTTGGATGTTATCTAACTTTGTTTTTTTTAATGTTACAACTTGTTTCCAAACGTTCAGAGAACATTCAAAGGTAAAGTTCTCATAATGTTTGCAGAATTATGCTCGCCGTGATTTTGCCAAGTAAGACATGTTCCTACACAAGCCGCGGTTAAGACAGCTGACTCTCCTGTGATGTGACGCTGTCTCTCTCTCTCTCTCACACACACACACCCACACACACACCCCCCCCTCCAGCGGTGCTTTATAAGCGCTCATCTCATGTGGATCTCTCTCCAGTCTCACTCAGCTGTCCTGAAGCTCTCTGAATCTACTGCTGAATATGGCACCAGTCGGATCAAAGAGGGTGAGTTACTGGTTTAGACACTTTTAGCGATTCTTCAGTCCAGTTTGTGCGTTTGCAAGCGCGTTATTTTTACATTAAGAGCATGAGATCCTGCAGGTGCTTTATATTTAATCCAGCGATTAATATATCAGCTCTCAGTCTCACACACATGAACAGAAGCACGCAAACTTGTGTTAAAGTGTGTTAATGCGGTGACCTGATCCACACGGTTGCACGCGTCCTTTCGCGTCTCTGCTGTAAATAAGTGTGTGTGTGTGTGTGTTCAGGGTGTCCTGGAGCGCCTGGGCGCGGGTGAGGTGGTGATCGGAGACGGAGGCTTCGTGTTCGCGCTGGAGAAGAGAGGATACGTGAAGGCCGGTCCCTGGACACCGGAGGCCGCTGCGGAGCACCCGGAGGCCGGTGAGACTCGCCCCAACAACAGGGAACGGGTCCCAGCTAACAGTCTAAAGTTATAAACAAAACCTCTTCCAATAACGTTCATAGAAGCTTCGTTCCAAGTTCATCTGGTCTTTAATAATGTTCTCCGAATGTTAGCACTTACACATTATTCAAGGAATGTTTTCTTATAAAAACGATTTAGTTTAGGTTTTGAAATGTTACTTGTTTCAGAACGTCAGGGACCGTTTAAAAGTAACGTTCCCATAATGCTTACACAATTTTAAAAACAAAATCTTCTCTTAATATTCGTATAGCCAAGAAAAACATTTTAAAAACTTTTAAGAAAACTTTAGAGAGCATTCAGAAATAATATTTTCATAAAATTAATATTTTCATAACATTAGCATAACGTTCTTAGAACATTTTGTTCGCTGGGATACCAGAGATTTATGGATGTGTAGGAATATAATACTATGCTGCTTTTCTAAGTTAATTATTACATTTATTAGTTGATTAATGATTCATTACATTTTGTATTCCAAGTTTTCTTGAGTGTTATGTTTAAATATGCAAATGAGGCGTTATGTAATTAAATATGCACACATTTGCATATATTTGCATAACATACATCTGAACATTGGATAAAGCCAGGTTCATCATTCTTGTTTGATTTTGTTGTCCAGAGGGGGTTTTGGATTTCTCTTTTTATCACTCCATAAATCAGAAAATACTGTCAACAGACAGAAAACAAACATGTTTTTTTCACATGTTTTTAGGAGTAAAATGTTGTCAGTGTGAACCTACCCCTAAACCTAACCCTACCCATAATTTATTCCTAAAAACAGTGTGAAATGATAGCTGATTAACAAGGGTGTGGAAGCACCTAACTCTGATCCTAATTCTTGAGAACTTATCCCTCAGTTCTGATTGGTTGATAGGAATGTTGTTCCAGGAACATGTTGTACTCGGTGAAATCACGCTCACCCAGAATTATACAATGGAATGTTATTATACATAATTATTATTATTATAATTATACATTGGCATAACCGAGAAAAAACGTTTTCAAAATGTTTGGGAAAACTAGAATATTCAGAAATAATGTTAGCAAAAGTTCTTAGAACATATTTTTGTGCACGCCAGGATAAGAGTTGTGTGTTTGTAGTAAGAACACAATTAATGGTACAATGTGTTGCTTTAAAATCTAGTAGAAGAAGACTTCAAACAAACGTATTTATCTGCGTTTGTCTGCTGAATGTTATCGAGAATATCTCTGATGATCCTGATGTTCTAAGAAATGAGAGCAGCTGAAAGATAAACATTAACCAGTGACACTGTGAACTAGTTTAGGTTACGAGGCCGATCTCTCTCTCTCTCTCTCTCTCTCACACACACACATTTGCATATATTTGCATAACATACATCTGAACATTGGATAAAGCCAGGTTCATCATTCTTGTTTGATTTTGTTGTCCAGAGGGGGTTTTGGATTTCTCTTTTTATCACTCCATAAATCAGAAAATACTGTCAACAGACAGAAAACAAACATGTTTTTTTCACATGTTTTTAGGAGTAAAATGTTGTCAGTGTGAATGAAATATGAACAAACCTTCAGGATATAGAGAGGAATAAAACTAAAGTGTGGTGTTTGTAAGAGACTGAAATCTACAGATGAAGTGTAATGTAATAAACACTTAAATGTATATTTTGCATGCTTTCTTTCCACTAGTCTTAAACAACACATGTTATGGAAGATAAATAGACCAAAATCAAAAATGACCAGTGCATGAAAAAACTCTGGTGTCTTGCCTAACTTTAAATATATTATACTACGTATATTCTATAGCTAGATTGTACTTGAACATTTTAAAAGTGTTCAGCAAAGCCTAGATTCTCGGTTCTTCCTCGTAAATGTCTCATGGAGTGTTTCTGTGGCTCATTAGCTGTATTTAGAGTCGCTGTGTTTGAGCGGCGCATGTGTTTCTCTCTCATCAGTGCGACAGCTGCACAGGGAATTCCTGCGGGCCGGGTCAAATGTCATGCAGACATTCACTTTCTACGCCAGCGACGACAAACTGGAGAACAGAGGGAACACGCTGACTTTCACCGTGAGTCGCTCGAATTCACATGCATCGCTCAGTTAGCAGCCAGTCAGCTCCTCGTCGTGATCAGAAGCATGTACTGCACTGATCTCAGATCAGATAGAGCTCATTTTAAACGTTGCACAACTCTGGTCTCAGATCAGCGTGCAAAGATTACAGCCAAAGACTGACAGAGATGTTTGCTGACCGTGCGCAGGGCCAGCAGATCAACGAGGCCGCCTGCGATCTGGCCAGAGAAGTAGCCAATGAGGGCGATGCTCTGGTGGCCGGCGGAGTCTCGCAGACGCCCTCCTACCTCAGCTGCAAGAGCGAAGACGAGGTCAAGAAGATCTTCAAGAAGCAGCTGGATGTCTTCATCAAGAAGAACGTGGACTTCCTGATCGCCGAGGTGAGAACGTGCGAATATTTTATTTATTTATTTAGTCATTTATTAGACGCTTTTATCCAAAGCGACTTACAAATGAGGAAAACAGAAGCAATCAATTGTAGTAAAAAACAACTAAAAACATATCCAAAACTAAAAACTGAAACTTTACTATACACATTTTAAAAATAAAGAAATTAAATAAAAATGACAAATGCATACAACAAAATTTAAAAACTTAACATTTAGATGAAAAACAAAAAACAAAAAAAAACAATTCAAAATATTAAAGAACAAAAGGTATAAGAGTATAATAATGATTCTAACATAACACTAAGCCAAACACCAAATATTAGATGCTTTTATCCAAAGCGACTTACAAATGAGGACAACAGAAGCAATCAATTGTAGTATTAAAACAACTAAAAACAGATCCAAAACTTAAAGCTAAAACTTTATAAATAGTACCTATACACATTTTAAAAATAAAGAAATTAAATAAAAATGACAAATGCATACAACAAAATTTAAAAACTTAACATTTAGATGAAAAACAAAAAACAAAAAAAAACAATTCAAAATATTAAAGAACAAAAGGTATAAGAGTATAATAATGATTCTAACATAACACTAAGCCAAACACCAAAAAAAAAACAACTACATGTGCGTATGTACAGCCACACACACATACATATATACTGTATATGTACATACACATTTATAAATGCAATATATATATTATTTCATTTCCATTTAGTTTGTTGAAGTATTAAAATAACTCAAATTAAATAAAACTAAAACTTAATAAAATACCTATACAGACATAATAAATTCAGACATAATTTAACTAAAATTAAAATAAATAAC